TATATATGCTCATATATACATATATATATATATATATATATGTGTGTGTGCTTACGATAGACATTCATGCATTGCATGCGTGCTTGCATCTACGCATTCCTTGCTTCCCCCCCTTTCCTTCCTTCCGTCCTTCCTGGCTTCCTGCCTTCCTGCCTTCCTTCCTGCCTTCCTGCCGGCCTTCCTTCCTTCCTTCCTTCCTTCCTTCACTCACTCACTCACTCACTCACTCACTCAATCACCCACTCACTCACTCACTCAATCACCCACTCACTCACTCATGCATTACACGTACACACACGGATGCAAGTATACATACATAGATAGACAGGCATGGACGGTGGCACTAGTGCCCACTGCCATCGAAAGGACAGTCGTACGATTGGTTGCATCCTCTCAGCGAGGCCTCGTAGAAGCCGTTAGCTCGCGGAAAAGAGCCTTTCTGCTGTTGCGCAACTGCCCGATCACGAGATGGGTTGAGGGTTTATAGGGTTGCTGTAACGGGTGTCTATAAGGGTATTATAAAGGGTATTATGAGGGTATCACTAGGGTTTTAGAAGGCGAACAACCAGTACACCTCGGTGTTGGTTCCGGCAAGCTGTGCGCAGCTGCCGAAGCATTGATGTGTTGCGACCTTCATCTTCGACCCTGACACCGAAGTCGGTTTGGGGTTTGGGGTTTAGGGTTGCGGGGTTTAGGGTTTGGGGTTTAGGTTTCTTCAGGGTTTGGGGTTTAGGGTTTAGGGAAAACACGGCAGTCGTAAGCTTCTTGGGTCCCATTTTTGCAAGTGCTGCTGCAGAACTGGGAGCCAAGATTCCTAGGCCTCTGAATTCCCTGCCCGCAGACCAGGGCCAGTAGAAATCTGTGACAAAATCCTAAATCTGGAACCCTCAACCCTAAACACAAGTGGATTGCTCCTGGTTCTGGCAGCTGTAAGCAAAGCTTCTCCGAGCCCAGCAAGAACTGCTTTCGACGCTTGGACAGAACACGGTGTTTCACACAAAATCAAAGCTCTAAATCCTAAGAATCAACCCCAAACCCCAAAGCCTGTGAATCGCTGAGGTCGGCTCGGATCGTGTTTTGCAATGCCGTGATGGAGTGTGCGGCCCCGAGGATTGTACAGGTAACGGTGTGAGGTGGATAGTACCAGAAGCAACAATCCATGATTTTACGAAAATACGAATATAGTACCACATCTATGTAATCACACAATAATGCACGAAAGCAACTACTACATCACACAGACATAATGCTAGCGGTCCGGTTAGCTACGAGTGCGTGACCGTAAGATGGTGGTACATCGAAACTTTAAACCCTCTGAGCCCTAACCCACAACATGAATTCCCGGGTCTTCAGACTGTATCAGTACCTTCTCAAGATGCTAAGTCACAAAGATCTTCTGTTACGGACAACGCAAACCCCAAACCCTAAACCTCCACAGCCTTACGAAGGACGTGGAATTCCAGAGAGGTGTCAAGAGCCATGTCACATTGTGCTTAGCGTCCTTGGCTCATCCTCAAGCCCAAGATGTCTCTACCGTGAGTCAGAACTGTTGAGCTCGAAGTTTGGAAAGTGATGGTAGGTGTAGGGGTTTAGGATCCTAAACCCTAAACCCTAAACCCTAAACCCTTTAGGATGGTGTTAGGTTTATGCCGCAGGATTTTTTCGGATAGTGCGGGGCCCTACCCTTACTTCCGTATAGCCCCACTACTTTCTACTATGCTGGCCTTAAACCCTATAAACCCTTACTTCCATATAGCACCCTACTTTCTACTATGCCAGCGCTATTGGGACCCTTGGGGGGCAGAGTTTAATACAGGGGTCTGAATAGTTACCTATACTTTTTTAGGGGCTCTTTATTTTTATAGTATAGTATACCCCCTATTCGAATTATTAAGGCCCCTACATTAGGCTGCACGGTTGTTATAGCCGCACGCCGACACAGCGCGGGCCTTTGGCTGGTTAGGGGTTTAGGGCTTATTGGGTTTAGGGTTTAGGGTTTTAGCGTCTAAGTTGGACCGGAATCTGATGTCTCAAGGTGAGAACTTGTCTGGTTCCATTCCCTATTTCCACTTTTTCTGCTTCTATTGCAAGCCCTTACCCTAAACCCTAAACCTCAACCCCTAAACCCCTAAAAACCTGCGCCCCAAGCCTAGAATCGAGCGCATGCGTGCCATGGCAACCTCGGCCAGACCTTGCGAGGCGACTTGTGCGGGGCTTTGGCTGTAGCAAGCACTACCATCGGCTTCTCGTGAGGTAGGGTTTAGGGTTCAGGGTTTAGGGGACCGCAGTAGTATCAATATGTTTTTTCAGTTCTGAGCTTTCCTGGTTACAACTGAAGAATGGAAGAAGGGTGCCATTATGTCGAGAGGATGTCAAGAGGCCTAGTTGTCGGGTTTTCTTGGATGCCGATGTGGTTTTGCTTCCTAGGGACGCTGCAAGCAAGTGGCAATTAGGCGATGGTCAATGGTAGCCTGAGAAGTTCTATTTGGGTAGTTTTCAAAATTAGGGTCCCTTTTTGGCTACCCTAAATAATAGGTGCCGTGTTATAATAAGGACCCACCCTAAACCCTAAACCCTAAACCCAAAAAGGGACCATAATTTTGACAACCACCCATTTATAGGTATACCTTCGGCTCACCAGAGTGATTTGAAGAGGAGTTCTGTCGGCCAAGGACTGCATGGCCACATGGGTGGTTGTCGAAATTAGGGTCCCTTTTTGGGTCCTTATTATAATACGGCACCTATTATTTCGGGTACCCCAAAAGGGACCCTAATTTTGACAACCACCCACATGGGTTGCAGTATGCCTTGCATTTCATCTACGGTCAAGGAGGGTGATGTGCACGTAATCGCTGCAGCCACTGCTGCTGCAATACCAGCTGCAACTGTTACTACTACTACTACTACTACTACTACTACTACTACTACTACTACTAGTACGACGACAACGACTTCGTCTATCACTATCACTGTCATCTCTTGTCGCGGCACAGACTATCCATGTTTGCGAAACACCTCTCCACGCATTCCTTTTCGACCCGCTCGCGACAAGCACTTCGTGGACCCAAAGGGTCCTAAGTACCTATATGGGGGATACTTGCCCAAACCATACTAGTAATTCCTAATATAGAAACCCTACATTCTACCATATAGGTACTTTGGACCCTGTGGGGGAGTCGGATGCACAATGGCCCGCAGCGCATTTTCGGAAGCCGGGCTGAGACACTACACTGGTGAATCCGAGTGTTGTCTTCGTTCCTGGTTTCCGGTGTTCTGATCGTTCAACCGTCATGTCTCACAAATGCTCTACATCCGCTACACTACACGCAGCTATCTATATCCACGTGTAGTTTCGTACCTGAGCGTATGTGGCACGTGTAAGGCGAACACAACACTATCTTCATGATTACATGTAGATCACATTCGGTTCATGTATGCACGCAGCTTTGTGGTCGTTGTGCTGGTAGCCACAATAATGATCACTATGACCTGTACGATATTGACAATGGTGACCGAGCTGAAGGTGTTGTTGCTGAGGCATGGCTAACACGCCTATGTAATCTTATGTAAGTGTTGCTGTTGCATAATATTGTGGCAATCACGCTTGTGTCGGTGGTGATGACTAAGGATTATGCTGAAGCAATCTTGGCGCTCATGTTGACGACGGTGATGGTGTATATGAAGACAGTGGTTGCTCTCACAAAGGGCCGAAAGCCTTCCCAACGACTCTGCTCTGCAAGCTGCCTTGCTTACTCTTCGCGGGCCAATCCCGGAAGCCCACGAAGGAAAACATCGTGTAAAGCATGGCTTTGGTTCAGGATGTTGAGTTCAGGGTTCGTGAGGATAAGATGGTTCCAGCTTGGATGCTGTTTTGCTGAGGGACTGGCTTTCTTTGTTGTTGACATCCGCCCGGTAAGACTGTAGCTTGCATCCTTTCATGCTGCGAAGCCCGCAACGGCATGCCAGAGGCATGGTGTACCTGCTGCCCAAGCACTCGTGCTTCGGAATCTTTGCTGGACATTTGGTAGGAGCCAAAGCTTTTGATTGGTTTGTGTTGAGTCTGCAGCTGCGTGCTTGTTCCAAGGGCTCCGATACAAAGAGGTTCAGGGTTCAGTGGTACATGGTGCCACTGTGAACATAACTTGTCTGAGAGAGTTTGAGAAAGCCGCAGTACTACGACTACACATTCATATCGTACTACTAACAATTATACCCCCCCAAACCTAATCGAATCAGGAAGAGCCGTATATTGGCCCAAATCCGGGGCCGATCTTCAGCATCTGACCCGAACAGAGCCTCAACCTTAGACCCCTAAACCCTAAACCCTGCACCATTAACCGTCAACCCTAAACCCTAAACCCTGCACCATAGAC